ATATTTAATTCCTCCCGATCCGCCTTTATCCAAAAGCCGAAGCAGAGTACAATGGACACCGCCTGATGCCGTGTTAACGACTGAAGGCAGAATTAAAAAGAGCAAACAGCTGTGATTTTTAATTACCATTTGCTCTCGAGTGTCGAGCACTGCTCTACCGTGACCGAGTTACTCGCACGCCGTTTAAAATTCGTTCAATTTGAGCAATATTGAAAGGCGGCATTAAACGCGGCCTGCGTCGCAATAACACGCCGGAGGAGGAAATTATGGCTAACCAAAGCGGGAGATCGCTACCGGTAATGGCACGGTGCCTTTGAAAGCGACCAATAAAAAAATATACCAAGACATTTTATCCAGACGTCTGGCGATGACAGCTCTGCGGGAGTTAATTGAGCTCGCGGCTATATATGGGACTCGCGTTTGCTCATTTCGTCCCGTGCCTAACGTCCTGAAAAATCCCTTATTAATCTGTCCCACAAACGATTGCGACGTTAAATGACGCCTTGGCACTAAATTCGCGAAATACGTCTCTTCCTTTGACCATTGATGCGGTTCCGAGAAGTGCTCGCGTTCGAGAAGTCCACGAAGAATTCGTTGGTGTTCGAATTTCCAAACTTCATATTGGAAAACAAAATTTCGCGAGTAGCTCACCTTTGAGAAGGGTCTCCGCGAAGAACTCGCGTTTGGGAACGAAATTCTAGGGTTTCCTGTCTGAAAACGATGCTCCGACATGGGGTCCGCAGCTGTGAGGACATTTGCGAGTGCTCGCATCGGAGAATGAAATTTCAGAAGGATTTCGCGGCGGAAAACAAAGCTGCGTGGAGAAAAGGAAGCGAGGAAAGGTGAAATTTCGCCTGGTCGTAGAGAGTAACGATTTACAGCGTGGCCCGGTGAATAGAGGCGGGTGAAAATTAATTTACAGTGTCCTTGGGCAGCTAGCCGGGAGAAAAGAAAGCAGCTCGAAGACGAAACCTCGTTAAGGGTGAGCCTCGTGTCTCCTCTTCGGGTTCCCTGAGACGTACTAGCACGCGTGCTACAATTTATTGCATCTTTCTTGCGCGTTAAAGCGTACTATGAACCGCATACCTAATGCTCGGTTCCCAGCTCGGCTGAATCATAAATCCTGCACCCCTCTCCGTCCCTCCGTCGTCCTCCGTGCGCCACCAGTTTCTTACGCGGAGTCGTGTCCCGGGATCGTGCACCTTGAAGAGCAACTACGAGCAACGACTTCCACGGACGCGATACGTACTACCCCTCGCCACGATAATTTCCGTTATTCTTTGCCTCTCGTGAAAGACACGCGGATCTACCATCCTCTGGATCACCGATGTCGAACTTGAGGACTTCGTGGACCACGAAGAAAAATATTAAGGAGTCTGCGATCTGGGTTCACAAATTCTTCGAGTATATTTGGAAGTTTAGGATTTATTTTTAATTCTATGTCAATTTTTTCGTGAAAATTTTATTTTAGCATTCTATGTGGGGTAGATGCGTCATCCAACATTAGAGGGGTGCATAGATAATACAAACGAATGAGTCACGTCAGACAGTCGAGAACGAATTATCATAACGTAAATACAGGATTCTAAGTAAGTCTGTTTTGTGTTATATTAATTATAGTAAATGTAATACGTTTATATTAATTTTTATGCCACATTCTGCCTGTGTTTTGTAATATTAATTCAATATTTTGGGATAATCAGTTGGTGGTTTTGATCTGTGGTTGTGTTGAATCTATTCAAGATTGGAATTTTCTACTAACGTTACAAAATTCTTTTTCTCACTGAGTCATAATTATTTCCATGTGCTCCAAAGATCTTTCAACGTTTTAGCATTATCAATTGGAGGATTTAGTGTAACTGTCATAGTTAGTGATAGCTATATGTGTAACAAATCTATGATAGTTAACTGTGATAGTTAGATGATAGAACTAGATCTTCTGTGTAACTGTGCTCCAAGGATCTTTCAACATTTTGGGTTATTAATTGGACGATTTTGTCTGTGGACCACGTATTGGTGTTACTTAAAATGGAGGATTTTGTCTGTGGACCACGTGTTGATGCTACCACCGTTTCAAAATTTCTTTTTCCATTGGATCAGATTTATTTCCATTGCACAGTTTGACAAGTCTTCAGTGTAACTGTGCTCTAAGGATCTTTCAACATTTTAGGATTATCAACTGGAGGATTTAGTCTGAGGACCACGTATTGATGCTACTTAAAATTGTAATCTTTTACTACTATTTCAAAATTCTTTTTTCCATTGAGACATAACTATTTCCATTGCACAGTTTGACAGTCTTCGAAGTAATTCTGCTCTAAGGATCTTTCAACATTTTAGGATTATCGATTGGAGGATTTGGTCTGTGGACCACGTGTTGACACTACTCAAGATTGTAATCTTTTACTACCATTTCAAAATTATTTTTTCCATTGGATCAGAATTATTTCCAGCGCACAGTTTGTCAGGTCTTCAATGTAACTGTGCACTGACAATCTTTAGCAGAAAAATGTTCCAAAGAGAAACCAATTGAAGGGTACAAAATTTTCTGTTATCGCGAGAAAAGAGCTAATCAACGAATACTTTTAGACAGAAATGTCTCTAGCAGACTTGAAGACTATAGCAGGATTCAATCGAAGAAACTGGTGAAGGAATCTCACCACCAATGAAACTACAAAATAAACTTTTAGATTTTTCATAATACTACCCCTAGCAAAATATTTGTAGCCTAGCTCTATTATATTCTCCCTGACAATAATCAAAAAATTAAATCGTCAAAAAATCAATCTACATCTACATCAAAAGATAATTTTCATCCAAATGTTCGGTGAAAAATTTCTTGCCAATATTCCCATAAATGAAGCATGGGAGTGCACTCTATTACACCTCTTCGCAATTTGCCACATCCACATGCAACCCATTAAAAAACATGACTGCCCACGTATATAATATACAAAAACAGTGTCCAATCACACTGATCACAAATCCACGAATAGTCAGTGACTATCAATTATTTTCCAATTTCCAACTCCGATTCTTCAATCAATGACGTTGAACTTGGACAAAGGATATTAAAGAGAGACGACCCCCTGAAGGTTCCAAACCGGAAACTATTTCCTAATATATGGCGGTTGGCCAACTGTGACGCGGTCTGTTTACACGCCTGGTACAGTATCAGCAGCGTGGAAATTTGCAAAGTTGCAAATGGCCGGCGCAACGCGAGATTACACCGGTCAGCTAGTCGGCGAATGGAAAACTGTAGCGACGCGAAACACCATTGGAAACGAGTGAAAAGAGGCTTTGCCCGTAATGGCGATTCGCTGTACAGGGGATCGAGATAAAGAGCCAATCGAACGTATCTCGGTTAATTCCGACTTGTAATTATTGGAGGAACCACTGACTCGGCACGCGGACAACAGTATATACAACCGTAGCGAACGGTAAATGTAATTATTGGTTTGCTGTCAACCGTATCTTTCCAATGAAGCTTATCTCGCAGCGAATTAAAACGGACCGGTTAACGCTGTACAGCGATCGTGATAGTTGCGAAACGACGCCAGTGACATGGTCGATCCGCGAAAATCCGTGACCTTGCCGGACCCGCGCGGCTGATACCACGGATGGAACACGAATCGATCAAGATGGCCGGGATCGATAAGGTCTATCGCGCGTGTCGTTAACGTCGCAGCGTAATTAAGCTCACGTTGAATCGGTCGACCGTGTCGAATCTCACGGTGCCGCCATCTATACGTCTATTTACGCCAAACAGGCGTCGCGTGTTTGCTCGAAACACGGCTCACGGGCAAGAGAAAGTGGTCAGAGGTGCGAACACCTTGACAGGCTGCAGGGATGAATCGTTGGCTAGTCCATGCGATTCACCCTCAGCTAATAGTGCCTTTGCTCACGCTTGTACACGTTATTGGATGCATCAATCACGTCCATGACAATCACAGATGTGTCAAGAAATAGGGAATTAGTAGATAAGATTGACAGTGGTTAGGTTAATTCTTGCTTCTTATCTTCTGGAAAGGAAACATTTTAGTTTCTCGTGGTCCAGATCCCATTTGTCTAGTTGGTGGTAAATTAAATCACGAAATGAAACGAAACGGAAAGTCTAGGCTAGCTCGATATGCAATCGCAAAGAGTGCAAGCATCGACGTTTTCAAAAAGGTTGTAAATATCTAAGTTACTTGGCAGAATAGGTGTCTGCTCACGCTTGTACACCTTATCAGGTGCATCGATCACGTTCACGACAATCACAGATGTGTCAAGTCATAAAGAAATAGGGAATTAGTAGATAAGATTGACAGTGGTTAGGTCAATTCTTGCTTCTTATCTTTTAGCAAGGAGACATTTGAGTCTCTCGTGGTCCAGATCCCATTTGTCTAGTTGGTGGTAAATTAAATCACGAAATGAAACGAAACGGAAAGTCTAGGCTAGCTCGATATGCAATCGCAAAGAGTGCAAGCATCGACGTTTCCAAAAAGGTTGTAAATATCTAAGTTACTTGGCAGAATAGGTGTCTGCTCACGCTTGTACACCTTATCAGGTGCATCGATCACGTTCACGACAATCACAGATGTGTCAAGTCATAAAGAAATAGGGAATTAGTAGATAAGATTGACAGTGGTTAGGTCAATTCTTGCTTCTTATCTTTTGGCAAGGAGACATTTGAGTCTCTCGTGGTCCAGATCCCATTTGTCTAGTTGGTGGTAAATTAAATCACGAAATGAAACGAAACGGAAAGTCTAGGCTAGCTCGATATGCAATCGCAAAGAGTGCAAGCATCGACGTTTCCAAAAAGGTTGTAAATATCTAAGTTACTTGGCAGGACAGATGACATTCGGTTCTTAAGATTTACGAGTACCAAGCTTGGGAGCTAAGAGAGGGTTAGCCTCGAGAGAATTGAGTCTAGTTTCGGACCCTACCTCTAGATTTGCGTCGTTCAATTTGCAGGAGCCTAGCTAAGAGAGGTCATCTCTGCGTTGTACACTATACAACTACTGCATGCAATTTGTAGAAAGAAGAATTTGGTTGTCACTCACCGTTTTCACTGATTCATAGTCGCCCTTCCTGAGCAGCTCCATCAGCCTCTGGCGCTCCATTTCCTCCTTCGTCACGTACACCTTGGTCTCCTTAAACCTGGCGTTCTGCAGGTTCTCGTAATTGTCGCACAAAACGTTGTGAAAACCGATCGGTCTCTGCTGACCGACATGCTCGATGATCTTACCGAACGAGTCACTAGCACTGTGTTCCACGGAATCCTTGGGCAGATCTTGCTTGAACTGAAGATTCTTCACCAACACTTCGTTCACCACCGACGCACGCTCGTCCATCTCCCTCGAGTTGGTTCTCTCCTTCTCGCTGTCCCATTTCTCGGGCTTCTGGCCAGCCTCCCTGGCGTCGTCCTGCTGGAACCTCGGCTCCATTGTCTGATCGGACATTTCGTTCAATCGGAGACACGCGTCTTCGACCTTGAACTTTGCCGCTTGCCTTTCACTCTCCAGCTCGTCCACAGGGATAGTGGCGGTGGATAGATTGCTGTTCTCCCGCGTGTGACACGCTTGGCTCCTGTCGACGAGATTCCCGGAATCGTAGGGGATCTCGAAGTCCTCGACGATCATGATCGATTCCGTGACCTCGCGTTTTTCCTGCTGCTGCTGCTCGGTGCACTCCGACAAACCAGTCGCAACGGGTCGAGTTTGCACGATCGTCTTAATGCCCTGAGGGGAGCCGAGCGAGTGAAACGTGACGAACGTCCTGGCAGGTTCGTTCGGTTGGTCCCGCTTCGTGCACGCGGACGGATCCTTCTTCTTCTCCGGAGGACCTCTGGCTCTACCGTTCGGCAGGCCTTGCTGGATCTTCAGGCACTGACTCAATCCGATCTCCGGGTATCTGCAAACGGATGCTTCGCTCTTCTGATCGTCTTCCTCGATAGTCTCCAGGTGTTCGTACCGCAACTCTCCGACTCGTTCGTAAACCTCCACTTCTTCCTCCTCCTCTTCCTCCTCCTCCTCCTCCTCCTCCTCGTTTCGTTCCCCAAGCATAACCGCTTCTTTGGCAGGCGACTTGCGATCGGATCGAGCGTCCGTTCCTCCTTCGCCGTAAGCAGAAACCTGCAAAGAAGGTCGTAGGATCGATTGGAGGTCATCCACGTGAATCACCTGAGGCTGCAGACTGCGCTCGTAAATCTTCTCCACGTGATTCGGCGAGGAATAGTGCGATCTGCTAGGTGACTTTTCCAACGGACTGCTACTCGCGGACCTAGACTTGACCGAATTTTGCTCGTTCAGCTGCTGCAACGCCGCGTACACCCGACTGTTGGGCTTGAAGGTGGACTGCGGGGAGCCGATCGGTGAAATCTTCGCTCCGCAATCCTTCGACTCCTGAGAACAAGGGATCTGATCCCTGCGCGGTAGAACCGGTGGCTTTCTAGCTTCTGGCGGCACGATGCCGCCTTGAAGATTCCTCGGTTTCGTGACGCGAGATTCCTGGTGACCTTGAAGAGTCCGGACACGCGCACCAACGGCACCGTAAATAGTTTCCTGTCTCGTCTGATCCATTTTGTTGTCTCTCTTGTCCTGCCGGTACCTAGACTCCAACGATTCGCCGGTAATCCTCAGGATATCTCGCGTGGGCCGATCGACGCTCCTCGAAACCTCCATCGATTTACAGGCAGCATCGGCTGCTTTATCACCGGCTCGCGGTGAATCGCTCGTGAGAGCCGGGCGCCTACTTTCTCCGTCCTTATTTGGCGAGATCGGCTCGCCTTGGTCACCAAGGTTGCTCGGGCCCTTCGAGATGCTCCCTCCGCACACCCCCCTGGTCCTCTGGCCTGTCTCTTCCTTAACGAGCGCTCTCGTCGCGCCAACCGTGCTTTGATCGTGATTCTGCGATCGCTTGAACGACGCTTTCCTGCAGGGAATAACCGACGACGCGCCGCCGCCGCCGATGCTGCTCGTGCTCGCAGTACCCGTGGCCGTGGCCGTCGCCGTCGCCGTTGTCGAACCACCGGTAACGCCGGTAGCCACGCCGCTTACTCCACATATCCTCCCATGATCCGACTCGTTTCTCGTCTTTACCAAATTCGTCGGCCTGTTGTCGGTCGCGCCTCTGACGCGACAGTTCTTTTCGGCCTGGTAGAGCTGCGCCGACTCCCCTCCGGTGCCCTCCGTTTGGCTCGCCTCGATGCTCGATTCTAATCGTCTGGATCTGAAGCTGGAGCTCAGTGGACCTCTCTGGGGAATTCTCGAACCGGTCGAAGGGCTGATGTCTCTAGATCTACCGATCAAACTGTTCGACGCGCTGAAACCGTAATCCTGTTGCTTGCTTCTGTTCTTCAGGGCTAGGTACTCCTTGTAGGTTCCCCTGCTCGTGTTCACGCCGACGTTTACTTTGTCCACCTTGCGTTCCGGTTTCTTGTCCGCGCGGCTCAGGTCGTCGTAGCTCGAGGAAGTTCCGTTCAACTTGTCCCTACCTTCGTCTATCGATCTCGACCTAGAGTCTTGGCGGTATCTCCGTTGACTCTTCTGATCGGCGCTACTGTTGGACCTGGTCAACGGCTTCTCCCGGGACGTCGGGAAATTTTGACTCTGCGTCTGGTTCAACCACTCGTCCACCCTCTTCTGAACCTCTCCCTTGCGCAGCAACACCTCGGGGACTCTGACGCGACTGGCATCCACGGTTACCGGGACCGGTGAAACGCAAGAAGAGGAATTGTCCTCGGTCGGAGACGGTGGAAGAACGTGTCTGACGGATTCCTTCTGCCTCTCCCGGGACCGCTGTCTCACTTGGGTCTGTTGGTTCACTTTCAGAACTGGTTGGGGTTTCTCCCGGACCGGCGAACACTTGGGTTGCATCCTCGTCGCCAAGACTCTCGATTTTTCTTGCTGCTGTTTCTTCTGCTGATCCATCATGACAGCCTCGAAGTTCGACACGCTGATGCTGCCGACGTCGCTCAAGTCCGACGACCTTCTGTAATCGAGATCCTCGTACTCGTCCAAGATGTTGTTCACCGATTGCGTGTCGATCGAGCTGATGCTCTTCGACTTGTTCCTAGCTACGCTCTCGTCGCTGCTCGAGTAACCGTGGTTCTGCTGTTGCTGCTGCCGATCGCGACTCGGCTGTCGTTTCGCTCGACCCTTCGGTTTCTGATACTTCAACACGGCGTTCTCGTACCGTTGCAGAGGATTCTCTAAACCAGTTTCGATCGCCTCGTTCTTGTTCCTCTTTAACACGGCGGACTGCTTCATCTGTCTGTGCTGCGCCGATTCCTTTTGACCGAACATTGCGGCCTTCTGCAGCATCGAGACGCTCCCCTCGCGATGTTCGCCCTCTTGGCCACTTTTCGACTGAACTATCGAGCGGAAGGTCGTGAAACTCTGCACGTTCCTCGAGCTTAAGCTCGGAGCGGTCACTTCCTTCGTCAGCTCTCGCCGCGTGACGCTCGATCGTGCACGCCGATGGTCAACGCCCGGTACCATGCCATCGTCATCGGCGAACGGGATGTTGCTGCCAGCTGTCAAGGTCTTCAGGATTATTTCATCGTTCATTTTTCAACGCCGATGTTCACTCGCATTTTTGGCAATCCTTTCGGGTGAGTCCCTTGACCCTCTGTCCTCCTGTAACAAGCATCAACGTTCGACTATCGTGGTAGACAAAATTACACGCGATGCTAGGTACTTTAGGTCAGTTCGCTGTCATTGACGAGTCCAACTATGCCGATCTATGGCTAACTTTAGGGGCTTTTTAGGGTACCTGCACTTAGGGTGCGACGTTTAACCCCTTGGCTACTGTGGGCGCCTGTAGGCGCTTAGAAATTTTGCGTTTGTGACACGAAAGGCGCCTAGAGGCGTTTAAAAATTTTGCGTTTGTGACACGGACGTCTATAGGTGCTTAGAAATTTTGCGTTTGTGACACTAAGGACGCTAACAAGCATCAACGTTCGACTATCGTGGTAGACAAAATTACACGCGATGCTAGGTACTTTAGGTTCGCTGTCATTGACGAGTCCAACTATGCCGATCTATGGCTAACTTTACTAACAAGCATCAACGTTCGACTATCGTGGTAGACAAAATTACACGCGATGCTAGGTACTTTAGGTCAGTTCGCTGTCATTGACGAGTCCAACTATGCCGATCTATGGCTAACTTTAGGGGCTTTTTAGGGTACCTGCACTTAGGGTGCGACGTTTAACCCCTTGGCTACTGTGGGCGCCTGTAGGTGCTTAGAAATTTTGCGTTTGTGACACGAAGGACGTCTATAGGTGCTTAGAAATTTTGCGTTTGTGACACGAAAGGCGCCTAGAGGCGTTTAAAAATTTTGCGTTTGTGACACGGACGTCTATAGGTGCTTAGAAATTTTGCGTTTGTGACACGAAAGACGCCTATAGGCGTTTAGAAATTTTGCGTTTGCGACACGGAGGGCACCCATAGGCGCTTAGAAATTTTGCGTTTGTGACAGGAAGGAAGTCTATAGGTGCTTAGAAATTTTGCGTTTGTGACACGAAAGGCGCCTAGAGGCGTTTAAAAATTTTGCGTTTGTAACACAGAGGGCGTCTATAGGCGCTCGGCGTAGTTTGGCTATCTGACACGGAGGGCGCTTGTTTTCACAAAAATGGCGCACATCGTAACTCAATCCCTGCCGTATGGTATGGCCACTACGTGTCAAAGTCTGCCGTAGTCAAGGGATTAAAGAGGAGTACACGTGCTTGGGAATGGTTTATTGGATGTGAATATTCGCAACGAGGGCAACGTTTGAGGAAATCTGACGGCACGGCGGCACGAAGACACACGCTTCCGTAAAACGGTTCTCCCATTGGCTTCCGGTTCAGCGGCGGCCGCACGTTTTACCAATGGCGAAGTATCCGGTAGTTGACCGATATCCGGCCGGAATTAATTCGGTTTTCGGGCCCGGAGCGCATTAGATATTGTAATGGTGAACACGTGCTCGTGCGTCGAATCGTTAAAGACCATAAAGGCCGCTTGGAATTCAATGTGCCTGTCCGGCCGTTGCACGGTGAATATTGACTATCGAGAAGTATATTTGCGCTCGTCGCGCATATTTATATCGCCGATAGATCGGTAGATTAGATCCCCCGTACGACCATTCAAAAACGACCATCGTAACGCGACGTGCCATAAATTCCCGCGTTAGGCATATTTACCGAGCTTTGTCAAAACCGAAATCGTAAATCCGGCCACGCGAGTGGTACAAATTAATTCCCAATTATCGTTTAATTAACCACGAGAGTGGTCGAAATTGACAATCCCGATCGGTTAAATTCATTTTCTTCGTAAATTATGTTTTACCCACGAGGCCACGAGTTCCTGGCTGGGAGCATTATCTCCCTGGACGACTGACCCCGATCGTTCTCAAAATTCCAGGCAATTATGCCAGGCAATTTCGATCTCCCTGATAGCACGCTTTACAAGGGCCCAACGGGGTCCACGCGCACCCAGAAGAAAAGAAAATTTCACCGGTAAACATCGAAACGCTGGCTAGCTAGTGCCATGCCAGCAGGGGAGAGCTTTCACGCGAGGGAATAAGATCACGAGCAGCGTAAATTGAATTAAACCGACGTGCCATCAAACGTACTCGGCGCCATTCTAACGTTTCCCACGCGGCCTCGCCTCAAGGATCTCCCAGTAGGAGTTCTACTTTTAGATCTCCTCGTCGAGATATCGGCCGTTGGGCCACCGCCGCGAGTTTCGTGCGTGGTGGCTCCGGTCTGCCCATGGCCCCGTTCTTTCTCCGAAATTGACCCACAATTAAGACGTCGGCCGCGCGTTGCCTCCAAAATAAGAGCGAGAGACCTGGACCAGTCTCTGTCTCTCGCTCTCTTCGTCCTCCTCTCCCCAACGCGTTAACCAGCACCGCTAAACGACCAACAAAAGCGTTTCTTCCCAGACAATGCGGCTCTCCGACACAATGCTCTCGGAGCCGGTAAATAAAAAGGAGCGAGGGAGAAGGGGCGGAATGGAACGAAACAGAAGGTTCCTCGTAATTATCATCTCGAAAAAATACATTCCAGCCGCGGCCTGGAACCCGGCGTTCCATCGTCGACGCTGAAACACCACCGCAAAAACCTGCATTTCAGATGCACTGACCCGGATCTTAAATCCGCCGCTGCGTTACCGCGATCGCGAGCAATCGGTATTCGTCGTTGATAAAGCCCTGTCGAATTAGAAGGAGCTGGGTACAAATTAAAGCGTCGACAAAATGAAACAAAGTAAAGCCTAAAACAGAGGTTGAAGGCTTTATTTCAGAGATACTCGATGAGGGAGCACGTCCGACAGGGTACGTCCCTTGTCGACAATTGCCCCGAATTTTTGGGGTTTTCTTCCACAGAAGGAAACTTCCCCCATTACATCTACTAGGCTCTTTTAGGTCACGCCATAAATTTCCCACGTCCACAAAGGACTTCAACAAACAGGTACTCCCTCGTCAGAGGTACTGGATATTACGAAAAATATGCGAGAAAAGTCCTATAAAATCGCGGATGTTGAGAGGCAGATTTAACGGGATGGCAATTTCGAGTTGACTGACCCTGTCAACAGACGTGATGCATCCAGGTAATTTAGACGCGATTAAGGTGATCTGTTTAGGTAGATGGATATACCGTTGAGCTAGGCTGAACTGCTTATTCGTCTGCGAATATGTGATAATAGTGGTATCCCTCGAACGCCGGTGCTGTTAATTGAACTAGTTTAACCAGGAACGGTACACGTTTTTGCCGTGACATTAGCTCAGGCCGAGAGGACGGTGAAGGATCTCGAAAGTCTAAAGTGTAATTAGTTCGAAGAAGAGGAACGACAGTGGATGACACATGGCTCGATTCGGGCCTGCTTCATCTGCATAATTTGGGTCCCAATTGAAATCCGGCAGACAGATACGGACTGGATCTGGATCCAGGTATGCCGAAATCGGAGTCTTAGCGCGGATTTGATACCACACAGTCGCCTATATATCAGAGAAAACCATGGATGGGTTAGGTTTCACGTTTTACTTGATCTCTCAGAATAAGTATACGTGCTTTCTTTACGGTTGCTTAGAAGGAACTAAATTTTTAGGTTAGGTTTTATTAGAATTGTTGAAAATACCAGATATCGTTAGAAGCGTCTAGCAACATGAAGAGGGAGATTAACCCTTTGGTCTACAACCACGAGTGAGATTCGTGGTGTGGAATTTGTGCCATACGCGAAAAGCACGAGTGAGACTCGTGATGAGGAATTCGGGTCATAAGCGAAAACCACGAGTGAGACTCGTGGTGAATAATTTGGGCCATAAGCGAAAACCACGAGTCTGGCACGTGAGTGTTGTGATGAGTGATATGGTGATGACTCTAATCCCCTCGGTTCCCGAGATATTCCAAAAATATGCTTACAACCCTTACCTTTGAGGGCTGATTTCACCCCTTCGACATAAACGATAGCAGATAAAACAAAAATACGTGTCAAATATTTCTTTGAGAACTGTCTCTAGAATAAATTTCATCAAAATCGGCGTGTACGGGCCTTTATTAGATATTTTCAAATAAGTATCAAGGCTGTATCAAGGCCATATGTAATTATACATCGAATGAGGGTAAAAATGAATGTATTATAATTATAGGTACCCAGGCTTTCAAACTTTAGGGAATTTAAAGAAACTAATAGTTTTCGCAATAAATAATGTAGAGATAAAAAAGAATAATGATTTATGAATTGAAGAAAATTATCAGTCATGTGAAAAATAATACACTCTACGAAGAATATTCGATATACCGAAAAGAATAACCAATTTTCTCCTCATAAAATATACCTAAAATACATTGCAGATCTATTAGTAATATAAAGGAAACACACCAAATGGTATTTATATTTTACCTTACAGAAATTTCGAATTTTTATAATCAATAATAATTCTTTATTTTACAAGACGTGTGTACACGTCTAAAGCTCCAGAATAGAGCTTTCGACTGTCGTGTATATGCATCGACCGCAGTTAACTAATTAATAGACCTAGAAATTATTACCCAAACATTATGCATACTTCCAAACGTGACACACCAAGCTCAAAAGCTCCGCCATCACTGCCCTAAACGATTTCAAAGTTGAAGCATACACTGAAACGGACTGCAGCCATAGTCTCCACCGTCGCTTCGATCGGGGACAAAAGGAAAAAGATGTTAATTAACATCCGATGCTCGTGAACGAGCATTTCCACTGTCTCGACTCGTAATCGGTGGTGCGCTATCTCCGAGGCATCGGACTCGCTGAATCGAGTGGCGAACACGAGCCGGTGGGACCACACGCGAGTCAACGCCTGTTGTCTGCCTCGGCAAAGAAACTCGACGATCGCGCTTACGCGAATACCAATTATGCGCGTGGTCGATACTTCTCTCGAATCGGCCGATCTTTCGTTGTCGATTCGCCTAACGCGGTGCACGCTTGTCGCCTACGCTGTCGCGGCCGCGTGGGCCCCTCTTTCGCTAACTACGCGTCAGTTGCCAACTCACGGTTCACGGTTCACGCTTTTCCCTGTCGCGAACACTGTGGAAAACGTTCGA